TATATAATCAGAATATATATATATATATATATATATATATATATATATATATATATATATATATATATATATATTTTCTCCTGAATAAAATATACCAGATGATTTAGTTCAACAAAATTGAGTTCAGCAAATATTGACATGTTTTGCAGAAAATGATGTCATAAGTTCTGAGAATTTGCTACAGTGTTCGCTAAGTGCTTCCATGTTAGGTAATTACATAATGTATTCTCACATTCATACAACGCGTTAGAAAAGCTGCGAACAAAACACGCCGATTAGCGAACAGGATCATAAGTGTCAAAAATGAAAAGAATACTTCGAGGTTCAACAAAATTGTTGGCGCTTCCTTGCAGTTTCTGGGAAGCGTCTCTCTCGAGATAGATATTATCACTATATCTCTGTCTATCTATAACTCTATATCTATGCGAAGCAAGAAAAGAGTAGTTTAGGTAAATATTATTCAACATGACGGAAGCTATCGCATCTATAAAACATTGATACCATTTATCACCTTACGCTACGATTTCTTTCATAGCTGCATTGATTGACACTCCTTCGTCTTTAATTATTTTCCTGATAAAAGGAGGCAGTTTTTGTTTCTTGTACGTCTTTATTTATGTTTTCCCTTAGATTTTGATAACGGACGAATCGAATTTTGTTTCGATTTCGAGAAAATAAATAACATTCATACTTAATAGGTTATGTATGAAATGTTAATGTGCGTCACACACGATCCCCACCATCAACTAGTTTGTTTCCCCACTACTTAAGTCATATCACTATGCACCTTTTTATGTTGAAGTATAGTAAAGTTTGCTATTCAAATTTGATTGATTTACAGTTGAAAATTTAATAGCTTAGAATAAGTCATATTTTCGAAAATTTTGACTTATATCTTATAATGAAATCTATACATGCCAAAATGTTAAAAAGACAAATGAAATAAATTATAAAGTTACTATAAATTAATTTAACTGTAAATTCTAGATTGAGACAAAAAGATATGAAAAACATCTGTTTTTCATTTCTTTTTATCATTCCAATCAGTTGCAATGTTTACAAGAATTTATTTACTCATTGTCTAGGAAATTAGTCCTTTTACCATCTCAATAAATTTCAAGTAACGAAAAGTTAAAGATTGCCTTTCTACATTCACCGATTTCAGGTTACATAATTTATTTTATTGAATCCATATTAAAATGTTGAATTACATACGGTTAAACTGTTCCTTCTAATACCAAAACAAAAATTCATATCATTTGGTCGAATTTTAAAAAAGTAATTCCGTTATGCCCAAACATTTTAGCGAATGACTGTACATTCTTGTTCAGATTTGAACAGAAATAAATCAGATTTGAATGCATACTTGCTTCTTATTCATAATCTCTTGTTAGAAAAATGCTTGCACAAAATGTATACGAAAGAGTTTGTATAACTTCTTCTGGTAGGTACTTATGAGGACATTGAAACCCGATATAAATTGAGAAGGATGTTTCTCCAGTTATTCTGAACGCGTTTTCAGATAGCGAGAGCAATCTGTGTGAATGCAGATTATCGTTGAACTTTCTCTCGCGGCTGCGAAAAGTCCCTTTTTCCCGAGCGAACAACCCTTAGGTGCTCCAGGAAATATCTGGCAAGTTGACCCGATAAAACCACCCTCTTTAATGTAATTCACTCACCGCCAACGGTAAGGGTTGCTCGAGTGGTTGAACGTAGGTTAGCGATCGAAGGAGGAGCATGAAGAGAGGGTTTTGGTCAGAATTAATGAACTGAAGATCGCGAGGGTAGATCCCTGCTGTGTATTGTCTTGTCGTGTTAATGGAAAGAGGTGCGAACAGACGGATAGAAGGGAAAGCAGGTCTTAGTGTCTATTCGTTTTTATCCTTTCTCGGATCAGATTTTTCAAGGAACCCTACTGTCATAGATCATCGGAGGTTTACGTACAGTTTTTAGTTCGATAAAAATTCTTACGATAAATATCAGTTAATGATACATGCTTTTTCTTAATTTCGAGAAATATGAACTCGAGAAATATTTAAAAAAAAGGAATATAACAATCAGTAGGTATCAATTAATCCTTCAGTATTCAAGTATATAGAGTTTATCTTTATGAATAATAAACCTCAAATGTAATTGTCAGTTACAACATAATTGTAAAAAACACAAAAGCAAATTTTCAAAGTCAATTTTCTCGAAATCTCGGACCCAAACCAAAGAAAGTTATTCTATATTTTTCTCATGTTTTTTAAAATGAGGGATCACTTGGTGCCCACTTGTACATTCCTTTCAGAGACATCCTGTATATTATCAAATAATCAGAAAGTAATCACGAACATTATTTTCGAAATAATTTTCAGCTACCGTGAATTCTACGTTAATATATATAAATGCGCATTATATTTATTAACGTGCGTGTATAAACACATAACTGATACAGTTTAACGACGTCGACACCAGTATCAGCGCTTGCTGATATTACGTGCACGTGCTGTACAATATTATCAGTGTCGGGTAACATTTTGAGTAAACATATTCAACGCTTCAATAATTAAAGTAGTACATAATTGAATGGTCGTGCAGCAAATCTGTCGAACAATTCTGTATATCTTGTAAAGCATCTTATTTTCGGCTAATTGTGATATTTATCTTAATTGCATATTTATTGTTTCCGAAAAACTATTGTTACACCGAATAATATATATGTATGAATAAATGTATGTATGTATCAATATTGAGCAACTTCAGTTATCAGCAGGCAAGTATGAATCATGTCAACGACCTGATAAATATTAAGACAGCTATTTCAGTATATCGTAATTCTTGGATCTGTGTGTTTTCGCTAAGTGGTACACGCGGTGATCATTTAATCATTCGACAGATTGAGGAAGAGAATTTCTAATAATACTGGAAGTATTAACACTGACTTGATTGTGTGTGTGTGTGTGTGAATAAAAGTTACATTAAAAATCAATCATATCGATGAAAGTAGAAAATTTTATTGTTACATTTAATACACACGTCCGATGTTTTTTTCTTTTTATAAATAATGTAAAACTGCGAATAACAGACAGGTCAATCTTCATTTATTATTCTATAATGAATAATAAATATAATCTTTATTTATATTATTTCAAATAAATTCTTCTCTTTACGTTTAATCTAAATCTAGAAGAATAAATATTAATTACAATTAGGAAATTGTTCACTGATTGGAGCTGAAAATAAAAGGAAAATTTAAACAAACAGAAGTTGCATAACAGCACGATTGTTATTTTGCAAGCGTGAAAACGAACGTGTGAGTCACTATATACCAAGTATGTAATTTACATTCGTGTCAGTGAACATTATGAATAATGTATAATCCTCTTATTAACCTCTTTGAACATTAACATAGTACGTGTCTACAATAACACTTGAGTATTAACAATGAGTCTAGACAAAGAAATATTTCTGGAACGCGTAAATCAATCGGTGATGTAACAGCCACCGAAACCGGTTTTTGAAAGAATGCCAACGCCTACAATTGCTTCCTCTAAACATAATAGTGCTTCGAAACAGTTCAGCGGATACGTGTTGTGTCCTGGGTGATGTTACATGCAACTTGATCGGTATTGTAACATTTATTCTGATAAATTATTGCCTAAACGATAGAAGTTTAAACTAACTCGAATATTACTGTTTTGTGAGTGTATTTTATCGGACAACATTAATCATACTTCTTAAATCTTCATACTTCAAAAACATCTATTTTTATATGTAAATTTACACCTATTTCTAATATTGATGTTATTTTCTTGTACGTAATATATCTCCATAAGAAGAAGAAACATTTGATTATGGCAATAGATATAGAAATCTTTAACTGTTCACATAATTCGTTCGCTAACAAATCTTTTTGAAAATTACTTCAATTATACTTTCTGTTAATTTTTCCGAGTTTCGAAAAATATTCTTCAGTTAATGCATAAGCGCAGGAGAATGAAATTTGGAGATCATCATAGGACTGTACTTTAGATTTGTTTTTCCGGCATAATTAACTTTACGTCTAACGAGTAAGATACATTAAATTGTTTCATTAAAAAAATAAACAAAATAGAGGAATCAAAATATTTGATACGTTTCATTCGATAAATATAAAGTTCATTATGCTCAAAAGCAAATCAAAAGCATAGCAATTCCACTAACCAATACACGTATTCAACTGAGAATAAAACGGGAGGAAAACAAGAATTGCTCATAGATTTATTAAAATGCAGGGGCGAGTTCTAATAAACGCATAAGTAAAACAACCGAAGACAACCATTACCAGTATACAAACGATTCCATATCGCTTGCATTCATTTACGTGCCACATTTGTATTACATAAAGCGTGCAATATTCTTGCCGACAGAAGAAACGCATTCTTTACAATATAATTATTTACTTCGTGCGAAAATATCGACAGGTTATCAAAACCGACAGACGCAGCGGTGAGCGCGTCAGCTTACTGGCATTCTGTATTACACGTTCCATTAGGTATCAGATTATCAGCGTACTGACTACAATTCTTTCGGGGCTGAACACTCATCCAGTATCCATCTTGCGCAACATTGCCGTACACGTTCACAGACAATTTCAACGGTATCTGCGTTCTCCAGCAAGCCTTTAGATCGCATCTAGCCAGTATATAGAAAATCAACACCTTCATCTCTATCAAGGCGAATCTGTTACCGATGCACATCCTGGGCCCTATTCCGAACGGCATGTAAGTCCCGGAGCCCAGAATCCTTTTACCATCTTGAATAAATCGGTCCGGATCGAACTGAAGAGGATTGTCGTAGTACTTCGGATCGGTTTGTATCGCGTGATTCGGGATCCACAGGTTCGCTCCCTTTTTGACAGTGAACGGTTTCCCACCGGGTACAGCCGGCGGCAATTCGAAATCCATCGAGCACTGCCTGTCTAGAATAGTAGCTACCGGATAAAGCCTCAGCGCCTCGTTCACCACAGCATCCATGTACTCCATACCTGATATGGCCTCGTAAGTTACCTGTCCCTTCGTGCTCTCAACAACCTCGTCGACTTCCTCCTGCAATCTCGCCAGATATTCAGGGTTCGCTATCAAATTATACAAAATCAAACCGGCCTGATTAGCGACGCTGTCGTATCCACCGAAGTAGAAACTGAAAGCGTTGCTGACCACGCTCTTGGTGCTGAACGGTTTCTCGGTCTTGTTGTTCTTCTGCACGTCCAGCAGATGTTGAAGCATATCCGCCCGGTAGATACCGTTCTCTTCTCTGTACTTCAGGTTGCCCTTAATCGTGTTCTCGAAGAAGTCCTCGGTGTCTTTTGCGACGATTCTGATGTTGAAGAATTTCGCTATCGTCGGCATGTTTCTCTGTATATTGAACTTGATGCCTGCCAGAAAACCGTTGAAGTTCGTTGCCCTCTGTCCGTGTACGAAGATAGCGTTTTTGGGGTCCTTGATCGTGTCGACATTAAGGCCGAACACGCAGCTGGCGATCACGTCGTTCGTGTATTTCGTCATCACGTTCTTCATCTCCAGCTCGTACCGCTCTTTCTCCGGCAGCTTGGTCAGATAGTCCGCGAAACGCGACGCGACCTGCGTCATCAGCGTAAACATGCCCTTGATCTTGCTGGAAGTGAAGATAGGCGTCAACTGGTTCCTCACGTCCTTCCATTCGTTGCCGCCCAAGACGAACAACATATCGGCCATAAGAGGATTCAGATCCGGCAATAAGAAAGCTCGATGTTCCGCGAACGACTCCAGGTTCTTGATCGCGACACTTTTGATGAGGTCCACGTCGCGCAGCATGATGATGGGCTCGGCGAATTCATAGAAGCCGACGTACTTGGCGTCAGGGTTATGGTAGTAGGTCTTCTTGACTACGTTCGCCAACGGTTTCTGCCGGAAAACGAACGGTCCCATGTTTCCGAGAATTGGTGTCGGTTTCACATGATCGATGCCATGTTTCTTAAAATAGTTTAAGCCCCTGCAGATGTAGTAGTAGATGGCTATCGCCACAGCTCCAAGAACTAGTAGAACAGTCACAGCGGCCATCTCTCTTTCAGACCGATATTGATAGCAGCTCGTCAGATGAAAGACTGGCTTCGGTGAACTGTAGGCGCAAGTAGTTCTTACTTTCCAGAGCGGCTTATAATATGATTCGATACCCCCACACATCCCCTACCGGCGGTGCACGCTATCTTCGACAAATTCGACTGTAGATAGAGCTTAGCGATAGCGGTTTTCACTGTAGATTCTGCTGGAGCAATCTTTATTTGCCGAAGTCCTCGCAGAAATCTCGTCGACGATTTTATCGACTGATTAGATGTTGCAACATGTTGCAACGTTTGTGTTGTTGTTTTGGAGTTTCTGTCGGAGGTCGGAAAGAAATAAATGTAGAACACTTTTGTGCCTGTATATAACTTTTAAATAAATACTTGAGTTGGGTGTAGAATAATTTTAATGGTTCTGAAGTAATTGCGACTAAAGATTGTTTCCTGAAACTGTTTAGTAAAATGGTGCAATTCTTATGATGGATGCTTTCAATGACCTAATAATTAGAAATATTA